CGCAGAGACGCTGCTTTATGCCGCGGTCGCCACTGTGGCCACGGCAGGTGGATTTATCAACTCTTAGGTCTGAACACGTTGTCGACGGTGCTGCCATTTCACCGAAGCAACCCCTGGAGCGTGGGCACGGCCCGATGGCAATGCTTTCTGAATCCTTTCAACGGCAGCCTGCGTCGTTTCCGGGCCCGACTTCGGGGGCAGCGGCCGGCGGCTCGGCCCCGCTGCGGGGTCGCACTGCCCTCTGGTGGTCACCGGCCGCCATAGCTCTGCCAGCGCGGAGCTGGCAGCCGCAGGGGCGGAAGGGCCGTGGGGAGCCTGGTCAGAGGTCAGGACGGTGAGGAATGTGGGAAGGGGCTGGGAAAGGCTGTGAGGGAGCCTTTGTGGGGGGCCTGGAAACCTCTTCCATCTTGATCTGGGCGGTGGTTAGCCGAGTGTGAGCTTATGTCAAAATACATCAAGGTGCATACTTACTTGAGCTTTGTGCAGGAAACTGTATGTACATTATAAAATGAAATGTGAACATCTTTAAGTTCATGGGGAATCCCAGTTGTTTTTGACTGGACACCCTACTTCCAAATCATTGTCCCCAGAGCAGCCAGAGTAATTTTTAAAAATGCCAATCAGATCATGCCACTCTCCTGCTTAAAACCCTCAGGTGGGTCCTCAGTGGATTTAGAGTAAAATCCAAACTCCAGTAAAATTCCAAATCCGTGACCAAAAGGATCCAACCACATCTGCCGCGGGGCCTTACCCTCTGACCCCGTGACCTGTGACCTCGCCTCCAGTCTTCCCGGGTTTCCCTTCTTTCCCGCCAGCTTGAAAGCTTTGCCCACAAGTTCTGTACTTCCTTGTCTCCCCCCTGGAGTGCTTGCCCTGGATTTTCTCACCACCCGGGTCTGAGCTCAGGTGCCACCTGCTTGGAGGTGACCAGGCTGTCCACAGTGTCCCCACGCCGTTCCGATTACTCTGTGCCGCATCACCCCAAAGCTTCCTTCTGGACTCTAGCCAGTGTCTGAGAGGAGAGCAGTCCCCATCGTTGACCCAGCAATGCCACGCCGTATACTCTGAAAGTCACAATCTCAACCAACCAAAAAGACCGTCAGTGTTTACCCCTTGGACAAGAGGCTGCCTTTTGGACCCTGAATGTTTCACTGGACAGATCCCGTGATCTCTTTCAAAAGGATGTTCTTAGGCTCCCCCCTCCCCTTTTTTAAGTAGGCTCTACACCCAGAGTGGAGTCCAGTGTGGGGCTCGAACTCACAACCCTGAGATCAAGACCTGAGCTGAGCCCAAGAGTCAGGCACTTGGCCTTCTGAGCCACCCCGGTGCCCCTCAGGCCAGCTTTTTGAAATTGGCTGACTTAGGCCTCCAAGATCCACCTTCTCCTCCCTGCTGAGGGTCCCACAGCCACTGTTCTGCCCTCCAGGTGGTTCTTGGAAGGTTGTGGACCTAGGTTGTGGCTCAAGCCTGTGCGCAGGGAGTGCTCAGGGTCGGGGGCGTGTGGGCTGTGTCCTGCTTGTGGCCACCGGCACTCTGCTGTTCGCCCTGAAGGACAGGCGATGAGTGGGAAAGTCTGCGTCTCACGGTTAATTCGCCGGCTTGTGTCGCCTCCTCTCTTCAGCAAAGTCCGCTCCGTGGGGGTCGGGACTGCCTCGGTCTGTTTCCTCGTCTGCACCCACAGGCCCAGTAAATGGTAGATCCTGGCTTCCCCTGGCAGAATGCTGCTCTGAAATGGGATGGGGCTTTCTCAGGCGTCCCCGGCTCCGACCACGGAGACCACCACTGCCCCACTTTTGGCAGAGACCAGGCTTCCTGGGACGGGCAAGAAGGAGGCTGCCTGATTCACAGACCAGCTTTCCCCAGCCTCACACTGGCACCCTGAGTCCCACAGGAAAGGGCTAGTGTTGCCGCTTGGGAAACTGGCTAGAAACAAGCGACTGGCTATGACAGAGAAGTCTCTAGAACTGATTATCTGATCTTCACGATCAGTAATCTAATCACAGCATTCAATATATAAGTAAGGCACTCTCCCACTTACCCATATGTCTGATAGCTCCAATGGGTCACTGTTTTTATTAATTTCTTATATCTTCTTCCAAAGCTGCTTTTTGCAGATATGATCCTACAGGTTTTACTTTTTTCTCCATTTTATTTATTTATTTTTTATTTTTTAAAGATTTTATTTATTTGACAGAGAGGCAGCGAGA